TCAAGGGCTACAAAATGCTTATTTTCTTTGATTTCAATCGTAACTAGCCAACGAAAACACGAGCAAAAACGGTTTTTCATCATTGAAAGTTGGCCTTTTCGTATGTCTTCAGTACTATTTAAAGCGTTTTCCCCTTAACTGTCTTCAAAAGAGTTCTCGACATGCGTTCTGCCAAGAATAGAGTGGCGCATCTTTTAGAAAAAAATTTAATCTTGTACAATGAAAATTGAGCGAGATATTAGCGAAATACTGAGACCTTCATTTATTCTGGGCCACCCGTTATGTTAATAAAAATGACACTAATTTTGACGTTTATATATATCTGGAATATAAATTATTAAAGAATGTCACACAAAAAATATATGAATAGAATCTTGAACTATTGATAGTTTCAAGTGAGTCTTCTCCACGGAAGTCAATCTTAAGAGATACGTTGCCTAGCTGTCATGATTCTTTGTCGTTATTGCTTTAACGCGCCCTTTTTTGATGCTCCATGTTTACAGACTTTCTTGCCAAATACAATCATTTCATGCAATGCATATAGTTCCACCAGTGAATAACCTAACAGTACAAACGGTGTTGATATAAAATGCAATGCATTACGAAGAATAAAAATACATTGAGAAACATTCATTAATCGAACAATAAATGCATCAATAATAAATGCAACCAAAAATGTTAGCATTTGTAGACCGAAAAAGCCATACATGAGATAATCAATCATTGGTGGAACATGCTTGACGATTAGAATCATGGATAGCATAGATGTTAAACCAAATAAGCCAGCTGTGCACAGCAAAACTCCATAATAGATGATGAAAACCAGACCCCAAGAGAAGGCCGCCATTTTCGGCATACGTTTCGCTTTGATAATAAAATAATGAAAGACTTCTGCAGCTCCAATCGTCCAACGACGTGCTTGTCTTGCCCATTCCATGATTTCGATTTCAATTGTTTCACCTGATGTCGGCCCGCTGACGACTGGTACAGGAATCATTGAAATTCGAAGGCGCTGCTGCGTTACACCCATCCATCGAATGAGACAAATTATGTCATCCATTTGATATCTCGGATGAATAAAATTGCCTTTTTTTGCTAGACTGAGTGAATACGAAAAAATACTCATTGTATTGATGTTAAATGGAATGAGGGCACCAAGCATCAATAAACTTCGCAAAAGTCCCGTGACACGAGTGACAAATGACAAGCTATCTAATTTCCAATTGTAAAACAAAGGTGATTGATAGATTGTAGTTAATGCTGGTTGATTCTCTTTTAGATATTTCCAAGTCAACGCTGCAATATAATCTGGTGGAAATTTTGAATCAGCATCACATGTTGTCACAAGAATGTTTTTCATATCATCGTCGGCAACATTCATTTGACTAACAGCCTTTCGGAGGCCGTAATTTGAATTTGAACATTTACCCGGAATTTCATTTGGCAAACCATATGGATGAATGGTAAATATGATTCGCTCAAAGCCAGCGCCTTTGAATTTATTATCCAAGTATTTGCATTTCTCTTCTTTATTGGGTGTTTTCTCTTCAAAGGAGATCACCATGGTTATTCGTTGCACTTCAGTCTGATTGGCCACGGATTGAATACTTGCTGCAATCAATTCAACTGGTTCTTTATAACAACTGATCGCAACTATATGACGAATGCGTGTTTTCTCTAGACTAGCAATCTTTTCCGCATAATTATGCGAGTGATTGACATATAGGATGAAAACATTTTTCATGGCCAATATTGCAATGGCTAAAAAAATCAAAATTAGATAGGTCATTTCGAAGAATGAAAACATTTTTGAGTTGCCTTACTAGTCCACATGAAAACAATAACACCTTGAATCGATGGTAGTATGTACAAGGCCACTTGGTTCGAAACGAAGGGAATCCAAAATGGAAGTGGAACGATAAGCCATAAAAGCAGATTAAATAAAAGATTCCAGCGTATCCTTTGATTACCGCTTTTCATTTTACCATGTGCTATACCAGTTTCAATGATCATATGCTGAGATACTGGTTCAATGGTGATATTTGTATGTTGGTTGATATCCTTATTCTTATCGACAGATCTTAGTCTAGTGAACGTTGGTGCTCGTAAAACTTCATTAACGGTTTGCCCTTCTTGTTCGAATCGATCAATCTTTTCTTCGGCTTCCACTGAGATTTTACGAATGATGTTCTCACGCCATGTTGACAAATTTGGTAGGATTGTTTGTTTTATCTGCTTATCTGCATCGTCCGTTTTACTATAGTTCTGATATTGTTCACTCAGAAAACGAATGAATTTCCGTGGGTTGTCTTTCGTTGTTGAGCTCATTATTATGCATACATATGTATCCATTGAAAAAAATATATTTCTTATATATAGATTCAGGTTAGTTTGTTTGTGTTGTTCCGTCAATGTGAGTAAGTGTGAAAAAGTGGCTCACTTCCTTCGTTCGTCATGCGTGATAAAAATACATACAATTCTATTGAATGAGTCATAAGATCAAAAGTAAGTTTACTCTCTTGGAGAAATCTTTTGACGCACATTCTTGACGGTTTCTTTCTACTACTACTTATTGACATATGAGACACATCATCTCTATATCTTATGCATGCGTATATACAGTAAAGTGCAAAAGTCTTTGCTCTCCGCATAATGACAATTATTAAAAGCGTATCTCTGAAAGTTCATAACGAAATTTTTTCGAGAGCTTTCCAGAAGTTCATCTAAGGTCTATATAAAGCTTTTTAAACCAAAATTTGTCCTGAACATTCTTAGGTTGGGAGAAAATGTCTCGACAACGAAATTCTACTCCACTGGAAACAAAGCGATCAACTATTTAACACTACGGAAACACTGATCATTGATCTTCTGGAACGGTTACTCGTGTGAAGAAGATCCCCATTCGGACTGTTCAATACAATATTGCCGAGATCAAAGAGCAATGTAAAATTGAGGACAGACATTGTAATAGCTGAAGTCTTCAAATTACTACTAATGACGGAAAAGCACCTGGGAATCGGAACTGACGAAACAATAAGATAAAAGCGAAAGAAGTGTCACTAAAACTGCTTAAGAGCTGAAGTCGAAACTAGTTCTGATACACGGTAAAGTTGCACCTCAAAGGAATGGATTACATGAGTACTTTGCTCTATAAGGCGTCAATGTTGGCATGGAAGAAGAAAGATGACTGTATTCAGTGGGAGAATCAAGGGGGAAACGGCGTACTTCAAGTCGAAAAGTACATCAAAGTACAAAAGTAGTTTAAAGTAGTTTAAAGTAGCGTAAAGTAGTTTAAAGTATCGGAAAGGAGCTNCGGAGTGTGTTTTTAGTTCATCAGATCGAATATTAGAAAAAAGAAGATAGTTTTTAAATTCAGATATTGTTGATGATATTTGAGAGATTAGTTAATGATAATAATGGAGAAAAAATCAAGATAAAAGTCAAAATAAGAAATCTAAATGCAAACTTTAGTAACCATATAATGGATAGGTTACCGACATATTTGCTTCTATTAAATATCTTTGCGACCAATCTAAATTGATTTTTCAGTTCACTTTCACTTCTATTTTTTTTCTTAATGTATAACTTTAGAAAAGATGTCGGCAATATCTAGCGCATAAAAATCGTCACAGGTTGACAGGTTACGATACTCGTACCCTGCAACCTACCCTGTAAAAACTTTCATAACCTGACTCTGCCCTGCCCTGCTATTATCGTAACCTGCCCTGCCCTGCCCTGACAGGGCAGGACAGGGCAGGGCAGGTTATCTATACCATGCAGGCCTCTAAACAGAACGCAAAAGGACAATCGCACCTACTGAATCATAGTTAGGTCTTATGATTACTAGAACAATGCTCTTTTCAGTTTTTCCAAAGAAAATTTCCTTTTTTCTTTGTCTTACAACTCGCTAAAAATGAATTATAACGATCATATTATGCAAAATTCTTCAAACTTCGACAGTTCCTACACACGAAAACTTGCATAACGCTTACTGTTTAGTACCAATAAACCCCATTTTTTGGTGGGCTTTCTTTTGGTATAAAAGTCATTATTTACTCTATTAGAAAGTATAGTGGTATGCTTTGGTAAAATATTATTTCCAAGCTAGTAGATGTGGGTGTGGACGAAGCAAAGATCTACACTCCCATCTCGGATCAATTACGATACAATGCTTTGATACTACCTGACTGACCTCCTTCAATTAGTTCGAAATTTAAATCAAAACTGAAAAAATGTCATTCCTTGTCGACTTCACTACAAAAGTAATCCTCGCTTGTTTATTTTCAATTAGATATGAAGAACATAAAAGAAAGTGTTCAGGTAAATAATTTTAGTTGGTCAATTGGCCATTGCATTCATTGATAATCTAGTCTTTCGATGGCAATTCCATTGAATTCATCATTGGACTTGTGTTTTTCACCATGCTACAATCTGTTTGGGAAGAATGTGGCGAATTAAGAAACATACTGATATATTCCCTATAGCGTAGTTCAATGTCGTCGAGAATCATGCCACAATCATTGAGCGTGTAAGAATGGCGACCATGCTTGCCCTGAGGATTATCGTGTAGCCATGCAAGCATGGCCATTTCAAACTCTTCTGACCAGGCAAGATCAAAATGATTGTAAATGCGACGAACTGTATTGATTGGTTGTGCGAGTAGATCATCGTATAGTACGTCAAAACAAGAAACATCTTGGTGATTGCGTCGAAATTTGACAAGACGATGAATTAGAGTATCCATCAAATGTAGCGTTCGCTTCACAACTGTCTGGATGTTGACTGCTGTATTGATCGTGTTAGAGTCGAAATAGGGACGAGCGTACACAGTCGATAAATGACAAAACGATGATAGTACGTCATCAAGTCGGCGATGGGTCATGATAAGTGAGGCTGAAGGATAGTGATGCATGAGTTCATCGAGGTATAAACCATGAAACGGTGTTTTTAAGAGCCAGTGAGAGCGAGGTGCATCGACACTATTCAACATTTCTATGAATATCTTGTGATATTTGTAGACAAAGTTCTTGTTCATATCATTTTCGAACCATAACAAGAGTTCGTCATTGTCATGAGGTGTGAGCATACTATTAAACCATTGACATCCTGCTTGATAAAGAATAATGAGATCTTCTTCATTCGCAAATATAGGATGAGAAGCAAGTCTATCTTGTTGATAATCAGTCAAACCAAAAGCTTTCAACATTTCACTGGATCCCTGTGCAGCAATATTGCGTTGCATCTGTCCGACAGTGTCTGAGCGTGCAAGTGGTGGTACGGGTTGGATCATTTCTGTCAAGAGTGGTGCTCGACATGCTGGATCACAAGCTAACAAATTGTAGAGCAGTGTTGTACCCGTGCGAGGCATACCACATAGAACGAGCGGATGTGGCACCAAAGCTGCTGTTGCTTTCAGTTCCGGATGAGAGGCCATATAGTTGAGTACAAGCTTCGAATGCATGTAATCTCGTTCAAGTGATGTGCATATGAGATGGCGCCCAATCTGCGATAGCTGATCGTTGGCTAGTACATGATTTGCATACAAGTGAAATGTACGCAAAATGTCATCGTGGAATTCGAACTGTGTCTTGGCTTCGTCACTAAGATCATCTTCAGAGAGAGTTACAGTCATACGAAGAGTCAAATTATTCTTATTGTTTCTCATATATTCACCGGATATCTCGCCATCCAATGTTTGTGCCATATCCATCGGTTTTGAGTAATGCCTTTCAACAGTAAGATAATCAATGCACAGAACTACCGTTTGATATAATTGAGGAGGGGAAAAATCAGGGAGTAAACATCCACAAACCAGAGAAATTTTTCTGTTTGAAAGAAAATGGCTAATTCTCTTTGAAAACTACATCGAAAGCAATCACTGCATGAAAAACAGCTGGTTTTCCATGAAATCTTTAAATAAGGCTTACACTCTCCGAGAAAATGGATGTCTCTCTTTGAAAAACTAGGGAGAAAGCTGTCTATTTTTCACATTCTTCTTTGAATTACACTGTCAAAAATTAAGAAATCCGGTAAGAAGGAGTTGACTACAATTTTCTGATAACAAGGCTGAGCGCCATTGAAAATATACGGAAGGAGAGCTAATTCACCCTCTCCAACCTCCTCCTAATCGGATGTTCTGTCAATGCATTACTCACACTTGGCTTTAACCCTTTGAGGACAGTGAGACAAACGTTGTCCCACCTGTTTTTCAGCGGAGAAAAAGTGTTTTGTTTAAAATAAACTGTTAGACCTACAAGGCCATATAGGTCATAGATGACTCACTTTATCAACACATACTTAGGTTTTTTTTCTTTCTCTCATATACAGTAAAACATCTCAATGTGACCACCTCTTCATAATGAGTATCTCTCAATACTGAGTGATAGATAGTCCATCCAAGCGAAGTTTTCTCTAAGTAAACCTCTCTAATATGAGCACCTTCTTATTCTGAGCAGTGAGCGGTTATTTCAGATCCTATGAACCATAACAACCTCTGTAATGTGAGCAACAAATGTTCTATCACTCATGCACAGAACAAAAAAAATGATGCCATGTGTATTGCGTTATGACAAACACTCATGGGACGCATTGCAGAAGCAGATAGACTAGCCGTGCATGTTTAAAAGAAAAAAGACAATATTAGACAACAGGAACCGTGGTTGATGCAATATATCGTCATTTTTGTGTTAACAGCTAGTAGTAACATCAAATCATGTCAATACGTGTTGATTCACCTCTGATTAAAAAAGTTGAGTTAATAAATTGTTGAAAATAAGAAAAAGATCACCTTGTGCAGTCGGAAAACGACTGTGACTGAATACTTGTAAGTTGCCAAAAAAATCAAGACTTCTCAATAACGAGCATCTGCGTAAAGTGAACTTTTTTGTCCAGTTCCAATGGTACCCACATTAGAGAGATTTGACGGTAGATTCTTTTCAAATGTTCTCTGTTCCTTCTACTACTGTACAGTGATGGTATGATATTTCTATTTTTGTCTGATTTATTGTCTTTATTGATCAATTTATGCTGTTCTTGGTTTTGAAAAACATTTATCTTTTCTCGTTGTCTATGAAATACAGGTATATTCACACGCTTATTCAACAAAATCTCTTTAACTTTTTCATTCAAAGTCAAATAAAACTACTTGTACTCTTCATTTCTTTGTATTCTCTTGATAATTAACAGTAAACATATAGAATTCTATAGAAATAACGAAGTCAACGATGAGTCCTATAATTCATATACTAGTGACGATAGTAACTAGAGTGCCTTCGATTTCAATTATCATAAACTAACAGATAATTTAGATAAAATTGGAGTTGCTAATATTTAAAAGATGAGAAGAATTGTTTTGTTTTTCATTATCATAAGATTTTTATGCAGTCATTTTCAGTCAAATAAAGTGATTGAAGAAACACTTTTCGATTAAAAAAATTCCGTCCTCAAAGCGTTAAAGACTTTTTCCACATCAAAGCAGATTCTTTTCAGAAATTCCGAGAAAGAAAGTGATATGTTTTTTATCACACATTTTGATCATAAGTCGCCTTTAACAATATCTAAAGATACAGGCTAAATTTCTTTTCTGATGTTTCATGTATCTTCCACTAGCAGCAAACAACTTGTGTAGACTCTTATTTACGATCTTATATTTGACTATCTGCTTACCTGTGGGTTGATATAACGAAAAATGATCTCCACTAGCGTGGTGTGTTACGATGCAAGATAAAGAACAACTGACTCGAAAGGAGCGAACGAACAGATAAAAACTTAGATAAAAAGAAGGGCTATGGAGGAAAATAATGTCGAAATCTGTTCGCTGGCAAAACAAGATGTAAATGCATGTCTTCATTACAACCATCGACAACTACTTAAAGAATGTAAATGGGGAGAAAGAAGAGGATTCAAAAAAACTAATAAGCAAAGATGATTATGTAGATTTTTTTTGATCACTGTTGTGGCAATCGATTTCTCATTGCTCCACTTATAATTATCATCTCCAAATCAATGAAGAGTATGATGTACTTAGGGTTGAACCAAAGTTCTGATCCCGATGTTTAAAGGACCTTGTCGCAGAAGATGACCTATTCAGAGATGAAAAACCAAATATATCATGTTGTAGAGCTTTTGGAGGCTCGTTGAATATTATATAGTGAATCCTGTTTTCATAAGACTTTGAAGTAACTAGAGTCTATTTACTGATAGACAACTACACACTCACACCCACCCACACCTACAAGATGACTGGAGATGCTACGTATATGAGGTTGCAGCTCGTCAAAAACTCTACAAAATCGTACTCAGATTGAGCATTACAGCGACCAGAAACGACCGTACACGGCCATATTATCAGCGTAAATAGTCTTATACGACCCACCCACTTCTGGAAGACTAAACAGAAGGTAACACATACGATTACTGCAAAGAACAATTTTGAAAGATATTTTCTATCTTAATCCCTTACAGTCTCAGAAATACTACACTCATCACGTATATTTCCACAAAAAGATCTTTAATGATCTTTATCTTTAAACATTGTATTTTAGTCCGGAAAATACCTAGAAAACAAGGTATCTTTTAATTAAAGGTCTTCCTTTATAAAAGTCTTTAGTGTGGCTTGGAAAATACCTTAAAAATCGGTACTTCGCTCAGATTAACCATTACGACTAGAGATGTGCGGGACCAGTTTTTTTGATCCCGGTCCCGGTCTTGGTCCCGGTAAGGTTTCTTTTGTCGGTCCCGATCCTGGTCCCGGTGAAATTTTCTCTTTGCACACAGTCTCAATTATTTTCATATTTCTGTTGTGTTCCAGTTTAGAAGGAGCCTGCAGAATTTAGTGGTCTCATATCTTCATTAATTTATCGTTACTCAGGGTGTGGGTGTGGCAGTGGGTAGATGTGGAGGGTGGAGTGTCAGAGTAAGACTATTATCTACACCCACACCCACCACCCACCCTTGATCATCTTCATCAATGTTATTTTGCTCCATTATCATGTAAAGATCAAATTGAAGTGTAAGAACAAGCACAAACTGCTGCATCAATTCGACAAAAAATCAAAAAATTTAAACTGATTCTTCGTATTACCGATAAGGGTAATAATTTTTATATTGATTCAGCAAGTGAATTCGAAAAGAAAGTTCAAAAATTTTTTCAAAAGACCAAGGCTTTTATCGAAATATCGGTAAATCCATTCAATCAAATTCAAGATCAAGTTATTCAATTACTCAATAGATTACGTTCAAAACGGTTCATTTTACAATGACAATATAATGAAATGATGCCTGATCGAACAAAATCTGAACTAGCTCATTTATATTTTAATTCTAAAACTCATAAGGTAGTGTAGACATTGTTCAAAAATACTTATAAAATTCTATTTCGTTTTGTGTGTATGCTTTTAGGATGATATACCAGTTCGACCAATTGAGAATACAATTCGTTCTCCAACACGAAATATTTCACAATTATTAGATAAAATAATACGACCTATACTCAATGACAAATGTGGTACAACAACTATCATAGATGGTACTTCTTCAATTAAAGAACTCCTGAAATATGTCAAAAAAGGTCTTTTCCAATCATCGACTCTTTTTTGTACGTTTGACATTCGTAATTTATATACAATGTTACTACAAGATGAAGCACTTGATATTCTTGTCGAATTTCTTCGTTTCTATGGATACACTAAAGTAAAAGGCATTGATATCGAAACAATACGAGAATTAGCTGCGATTGTACTTAAAGAAAATGTTATTGTCTATGGTAAAAAAATTTATAGACAAGCTCTTGGTGGTACTATGGGTTCATCATTTACCTTAAAATTAGCAAATATTTTCATGTGGAAATGGCAAAAAGAACTCGTACGTCGACAAGATATGACAAGTGAATTTTATGGCCGGTAAGTGATAACACAAAAATCAGAATTCAATTTTTCTAATTCAATTTTCTTGCTAGATACATCGATGATATTTTTATGACATGGAAAAATCAGAAAAATCATTAAAAGATTTGTTAGATGCTGCAAATTCTTGGCATCCAAATATTAAATTAGAATACAAAATTGGTAAAAATCTTCCATTTCTTGATGTTCTTCTCATAAACAACAATGGTATTCTATCAACATCTGTGTACCACAAACCAGCAGCTGAACCTTATGTTGTACCGTTCATTTCGGATCATCCTCAACATGTCTTCGTCAATGTTATACAAACTAGTCTTGCACGTGCCGTTAGATATTCATCTACATTTGAAAGCTTTAACAAAGAACGACGGCATATTCACTTATCTCTACTATATAATGGGTGAGTGCCATTTCTGTTAATAAAACACTATTATATCCTTTCATATTTTATACTTTAGCTATCCATCTACATTTATTGAAAAGGAGTTTCAAAAATTCTTTTATGAATACATATCTTCAACATCATTTTTTCCTCCTATTGCTAATGAAAATCAGTTTTTTAAGATGCATAACAGGCTATTAGAACAACCAACAAACACACAGTCACAAGTAGCAGTCAGTGCGGCAACCGCCAACCTGGATAACTATCAAACAGATGAGATGAGGGTGTGGGTGTGGGTGTCGGGTGTGGGTGTCGGGTGTGGGTGTCGGGTGTGGGTGTGGGGTGTGGGGTGTGGGTGTGGGTATGGGTGTGGGTGTGGGTGTGGGTGTGGGTGCGGGTGTGGGGTGTGTGGGTGTGGGTGTGGGTGGATGTTGGTCTTGCTCTTCTCTTTATCAACACCCACACCCACACCCACACCCACCCGTAATGCATTGTATACGTCAGTCAACCACTTGTACACTTCTTTCATTCTCATGATATTTCCATCTTAGGAAAAGGAAGTAATTAACGTAGTGCTCTTACTTCTCTAATACCGATTCACAATGTTGTAGCACGATAGAAAACGATGCGTAACTTAATGGTCTAAGCGATCGATAATTTTTCGATTCCCTCCCGAACAACTGCTTCGAATAACTGATTGAGAAGTCGGTAAATTGAAGAGAAATAGAATGTATCTAGAACTAAACATCAGTAACGCAATGCATATCTTACTACTAGGACATCTGTTTCCAGTAAAACATCATTGGGACAATAGGTCTATTGTTTTTGATTCATTAGCGAGATAATCGCTATTCGGGGGTAGGTTGGGTGAAAAGAAGAACCCCACAGACACCACTACATCCACAACCCACACCCATACACCCACACACACACCACGTCTGCACCTCGACTGAAGAGACTGTGAAACTTTGAAAGACGTCATAATAACTGCCTGAAAGATTCCGGTGAGCAATCTGTTTGAAACGGCGACAACAGAACAACGAAAATGCAGAAGAAAGCAATGCATATTTCATGCCGCTTGCCATTTGTGTTTTATCAGTACGAATCTAAACATAAAAAAGAAAATATTTCTTTTCTATTTAAGGTGTATAACTTATCGTTTGTATCTGATCGATATGAACATAAATATTAAAAAAAGGAAATACTAGTTTTTTCTACGGGGTGTATAACTTATCATTTGTGTTTTATCAGAATAAATCTAAATATTAAAAAAATATTAGTTTTCTATTCGAGGTGTGTAACTTACCATCTATACCTGGTTGATGTGAACATCAATATTGGTTTCGTGTGTAAGTGAGTGATGTGGGTATGAGTGGGCATGATCGTGGATGTGCATATGCGTGTGGTTGTGGCTGCGTTGGGACGGATGTAGAAATTTTCAGTTTTTACACGAACACACCCACACCCTCAAGACAAGATTGTTTCAAGAGAGCGAGAGCTTTATTTTTTTCCAGTTTTTTTTCAAACTAACTCGATAAATATCATAGCTATTTACGTCGATAATCTTGTAAAGCTCAAATATCGGGACTCAAGTGTTGGTGTTCATCTGTCTCAGGCTAAACTATCATGCTACCACATCCATAAGATACCTACGCCTTCACTTTCACTCACATCCATATCTACACTCTCATCATATCACATACACATCTATAAAAATTACTCATCAAACAAAATATCACGCCTCTCCATGTACAAATAGCTGTTTTACATTAACTATGCGTCATTTATGACATTCGCTTTCATCATTTGGTATCCTTAGGTACTTCCTAAATGAAATATTGATAAAGGCTTGACGATATCCTTAAAAACGACACATCGTACCATTTTTCAGTAGGAATCGCTACTCTATACATTTTTCGATGGATATGACAGTCAGCATCAAGGCAATATATTCAGAAAATCTTCTTCTCAGAATACTATGATCCAGTAGAGATTGATTATGCATATCGAAAATCGTTCTGATATCTACGAGACATCGGTAAGACATCGCTTAATTCAGAAACGCGATTTCCGTCAGATGCGACGATGTAATATTGACATTCATGAAATATCCCAGAGTATTTCATGGATATTAGAATGACCGCAGCTAGGAATCAACGTTTTTTACTAGCTTGTGATGTTTTGAACACAGAAATCTCGACTTACATCTCGTGGATGCTGAACACTATACCGGCTGAAAATTATGTGAAATGACGATTTCTGCTGGTAAATGACAGGATAGTTCGTTCTGAGGGATATTGCCGACTATTGGTATGAATTATTTTGTTTTTTCTGCACCTTTCATGGTTTTTTTTTCTGCGTCAATCTCCTTGCTTTAATCTCGTTCAGCTATATTGATATGTTTCTACTTTACTGTATTGACATTTTCTAGTACGTTACTGTATGCATACCGTAACTATGTTCAGATAAAGAGAATTCAGATTGGTGTCACGAGTAGCAGAGACGGCCAGCTTACGCTTATCGCAAACAGGTTTGAGAATACAAACCCTAAAGGGACAAAATCTTGAGTTACGATATATCAAATCAACGAAATTTGAAAAATATTGATTATAAGCGAAACTGAGATGTCGATTAGAATAGATTGATGAAGAGCTTGATTATGTGAGTATGGGTGTTGCTGACAGATAGCCAATAACCCTCACCCCCATGGACATAGAAACTGCATTGTCTATCTATACCAGTATTCCGGCAGCATCATTTTTTTCTATAGACTATCTCTTTCAACTTTGACTGAAACATAAATTGAGAGATCTGTCTCATTTTATGTTCTTTTGGTGACGCTTGATATCTCATGCGATATTTTATACGAAAGAGTCACTTAAATTTAGTGTTTTTCATTTTAGATCATCGTTACATAAACTTCAATTCAATGAATATTCTTCTGATATGGACGCTGCTACTGCTGCAGTTGACGGTAACTCTATAGATCTGATTTGTTGATTAAGATCCCAGAATTCCTTATACATGAAACAGTCGAAATGATAAGATACTGTAGAATCTAATGGTTTATGATACCCTATTTTGTAGCGCCATGAATTATTTCATTACTGTATTTTCTGAAAGTCTATTGTGAGTTTCAGACTTCATCTGTTCCGAGATATGAAAAGATATTCATCACGCCAAGTTCTGCCCAGAATCTTAGTCAAGAAGTGAATATCTGCCTCATCAATTCAGGTGGATTACCTAATTTATTTTGAAGTATGAAAATAATGATTTAGTTCGCCTGATTCATCGCTTTGATGCTGAGAATATTGTTGAACCTGTAGAATACATAGTTTTTTGACGAATGCTGTCTATCTAGATTGAGAGTTTCATACTTAGTTCGAAGTTGTACTGTAACAGTTGAAGTTCAAAATTTCTTTAGGAAAGACTTGACGTATTGGAACAGTTTAGCTTTCTTAAAAAAATGAACTTTTCTACGGTTTCAATGATTGGAAAGCATGTTGAAATGTTATTCGTCTTTTTCAAAGAGATCAATGAGATCTGTTTGAAGTGATTGGTTCTTAGGCATTTCTTACTCTATTTTGGCAGCTTCTTGGCGATTCCAAGCTTTTTGAATGCCTTTGGTTGAAATCAAGCTGAATACGCTTGAAACCGAACAAGAAACTCTCAAAAGTTAACGACAAAGAATGAATCAAGTAGACATATACCATGAAGCGATGCTTCTCATATAATCATTGATTTCATTTACAATTTTAAAAGCGAATGCATACTGCAACATGAAACAACAAAAGTCTATCTGATTTCAGGTTATAATGCTCATTACCTTCCTATTATTTTAATAAACGTCATAACTTTCAAACGCCTTGAGACGAAAATGCCAATAGTTATGTTAAGTTTTTCTCTTCCGAATGAGACTGATGCAAAGCTATTCATTAAAAGACATTTTCGTGTCTGGAAATCTAGGTTCATACAGAACCAAATATTTTTTTGTTTGCAAGATGGGGGGAAATATAAAATAGAAATGGCTTAGATTGATTTCTTATAGGTACCAGAAATAATGGGAATTTCTTTTAGTCAATTGAATAGTGATTATGGAAGTTACAGTCCGACTTTTGAGAAAAAAATGGTCGAAGAAAACCGTCAAGATGGATACTGGATTGAAGCTTTTCAAGTAGACAATCAAACTCTTATTGGACTGATAGGATATGGAATTAAAAGTGGAGAGATAAAATTTTATCCAAATCCATCCACAACTACAAAACCAGGAAATGCTACTCTTATTCAAAAGCTAAATAGTCCTGTTGCCATGGATCAAGCTGACATAACAGGGGATGGCATGAATGACATAATTATCTGTTTTCAATATGGTAATACTACGTTAGACAGCGATCCTGACGGAGGGAAGATCGTATGGTTGGAAAATCCCGGACAGAATATTGATAAAAAACTATGGAAAATGCATTATGTTGGAAAATCTCCAGCTATGCATAGACTTAAAGTGGGTCATTTTACGCAAAAAAAACGTTGGGAGATTTTAGGTTTGCCTGTTATCGGCAAGCCTCATGATTTATTCTCAGCAGTGCCTATACTGTTATTTCGACAACCTGATAACTTAT